CTTATCTGGGGTACATCTTGGATTCCAACCAGCAGAGGATTTTCCTTCCTCAGGAGAAGGTGGTCAAGGTCTCCGCGGCAGTCAGTCGGCTTCAGTTGAGTCAGCCGGTGTCACTAAGAGTGGTGGCTTCGGTCATGGGTCTCATGACCGCTTGCCTGGCGGCGGTAAAATGGGCTCGGTTCCACCAGAGACCTCTGCAACAGTTCTTCCTGAGGAACTGGAATCGCTCGCAAGAGGGATTGGACGTTGCCTTTTCCCTCCCCCCCTCAGTAAAGAGAAGCCTGTGGTGGTGGAGAATTCATCCACAACTTCGGGCGGGTCTGAAGTGGAGTTCTTAGGCCTCCGTACACTTGACCACAGATGCCAGTGCGTGGGGATGGGGAGCTCATGTAGGGGAGAGGCTAGCGCAGGGTCGCTGGTCTCTACTAGAGTCCAGAAGATCCTCCAACTGTAGAGAGTTGAAAGCGGTCGCGAATGCGATCAGGTTTTTTTACGACACTTTGAAAGAACACAATCTGTTGGTTCTGTCAGACAACATCACGGCGGTGGTTTATCTGAACAAGCAGGGGGGCACAAGAAGTTGGCCTCTTCAGCTTTTAGCCAAGGAAATATTTTCCTGGGCGGAAGTGAATCTGAAGTCCCTGTTTGCGGTACACCTGAGGGGTACCCACAACATCCTGGCAGACTATTTGAGTCGGCATCGGATACTGCAGGACGAATGGGTCCTGAACCAGGAAGTATTTTCACTGATTTCAGAGACATGGGGTTTGCTTGTCGTCGATCTTTTTGACACTTGGTAGATCTTTTTGCAACTCAGGAGAATACAAAGCTAAGGCAGTTTTTTTCCCTCCAGCAGGGGGATTCCGCTCTGGCTGTGGATGCCCTGTCAAATCCATGGGACTTCCCCTTATGTTCAGTCGTAAACCGGTAACAAGGCGTATATACGGGAAAGTGTGGAAGACGTTCAGCTCTTGGAGGCTCCGTAATCATAGAGATTATACAGTCCCAGGCCTTTTGGATTTTCTGCAACAGGGGGCTGATATGGGGCTGGCATGGCTGTTTACATGCTTACAGTTTTCCCTCTCGTGTGCGCGCACGAGAAGGGGGAGGGGCAGGACTTCTTAAGACGCCCTCCCGCTCCTAGCAGACGTCCATCCAGCCGTTCACAAATGGCCATGGACGGAAGGTAGTTAAAGACGGCACGGCTCACAGGGGATTTACGTCGGCGGGTCACGAACGTCCCCACCCGCCCATTCCCCTTGCTTTCATTAATGAATTT